AATTTCCACCACATTGTGATGAAAAATATTGTTCGTAACTCGTGAAAAAATATTTTTTAGCTCGTTACGAAATATACGATTTTGCACTCGCTATGAAATATACTTTTTCATCACGCTGTGACGAAAAGTGAACTTTTCGGCACGCTCCGCGTGCCTAACACAATGTGGCGGAAATTGGACTTTGAGGCATGTGGAGCGTGCCGAGAAATACTATTTTAGCTCGTGGGATTATATCACTCGCCTTCGGCTCGTGATATAAACCTCCCACTCGCCAAAAAACACTTTTTTGCACCCGTTACGAAATATACTATTATTCCCCGCCCCCCTGAGTGAGAAGGGAATATGTAGCGCGCTCGCTCCCACTCATTGTCAAAGAGGATTGACTAAAGTAGAGGCTCAGATCTCGGGGTTGGACTGACCCCAAGCCAAAAGTAGTTCGACCCCAACGGAGGGATGCCGCCACGGTCGAATCTGACGGCTGGGCGAACTGCCTGTGCGGGTAACTCGGCAGTAGCAGTCCCGCTGTCAGCCTGTCACAGGGATAGTTTCGAAGGGGGATTTATGTCCTCCTCGTCTTCAGCATGTTCTTAATGTTTTTCAAGTGATTCATTTGCTGGCTAATTAATATTATGGAATGAAACACAGAGGGTGTGACGGAGAATTAAATTTCCCATCAATCGATCCCCGTTGCATCCCTCAATCTCTGTAACAAAAAAATACAAACTACGACAAAGTCATGGCCCAGTGAGAAAAATAATTTTCTTCTCGGCGCACAGTGACTTTTCACCATACGCTCGCGAATTAAGAATTCACTTCTCCCCTCCTAATTGAGATTAAAGGATAAAAAAGGGCAGTTCGACGGAGAATTAAATTCTCCATCAATCAACCCTCTTTCATCCCTTAATCTCTGTAACAAAAGAATAAAAACTGCCATGAAAGTCAGGGGCCAGTAAGAAAAATAATTTTTTCGCGGCGCACACTGACTTTTCACCATTCGCCCGGTAATTAAAAATTCACCTCTCCCTTCTTAATTGAGATTAAGGGATGAAAACAGGGCAGTTCGACGGAGAATTAAATTTTTCATTAATTAACCCTTTTTCATCCCTTAATCTCTGTAACAAAAAATTAAAAACTGCCATGAAAGTCAGAGGCCAGTAAGAAAAATATTTTTTTCTCGGCGCACACTGACTATTTACCATTCGCCCGCGATTTAAAAATTCACTTCTCCCCTCCTAATTGAGATTAAGGGATGAAAAAAGAGCAGTTCGACGGAGAATTAAATTTTTCATTAATTAACCCTCTTTCATCCCTTAATCTTTGTAACA